TAAGGAGAAAAAGTGTAAGCAGCCGTTCAATCGTCTGCCAAATAAAGGCAAAGATTGCCAACATGTAAGCAAAATTGATCTCGACCTTCAAAGGCCAGATTTTCGAGCGAAACACAACGCGCAAAGAACAGCGAGAATTATATTTATCGCTTTAATTGTTCCACCTTCTTTCGGATTTACCTTTAATCGTTCAATCGCATTTTATTCTTCTTTCTTTTCTTTATCTCGTAATCTTTTGTCGTATTCCAATATATTAACATTGGATTTATTGCTGTTAAGTTTTGTAATAATGAGCGAATAAAGATGAGCCAGCAGAATCATCGTACGAGAATACACATGTTCGCTTAGAAATTTTGAGTTGAACGAGGAAATAGAAAATACAATTATGCTTATTTTAGTCTGCACAATTGAGCTATGCTTTTTAAAATCTAATATTCATACTTTGCAAGAATCCCGAGCGAAACACATCCGCTAACGTGTAATTGCATTTTAAAAATAGCCGTACTTAGTTAAATTACATTTTTTATAAAAACAGGGAAATACAAACATGTAAAAGTAGGAGTGAGTTTATGTTGATAAATCCAGTATGCTGCTGCTGCTATCTTTGTCAATTTGACATGTAATTCCGATTATGAACCAGTTAGCAGCTACATAATATCACCTATGTATAAAATTATGCATCAAATTATGCATTTGCGTAAACAATACTTTTATGTTGATGGCAGTAATTCATGAATTCCCATGTATGCGAAAATATATCATCAGCAAATATTACGAAAACATAAAATATATTCATTCTAATAGCGCTACTCAAACACAGTACTACTTCAAAATGTTTAATTATACCAAAGAAGCGTTGATATATTGTTTAATCGGAATCATAAAGGCATCTTACACTTTAGGAATTAACTTAATTTTTCCTACGTAGATCAATCATATCGTTTCACGTCAAACGAGCAACTAGAAGCATAGTAAAATAATTTATCGTTCAAATTTATGTTTGATTTATTATTATTCACGTCGGCCAGAGCAAAAGAAAATTACGAATGGAAAATAAAAGAAAATAAAAGACGCATAATAAAGGCGTTCCTTGAAATCAAAGGAGAGTAATGGTATTGATTTTCTTTATTCGCAGAGGAGGCGAGAAGAGCCGTTTTGACGCTGCCTCGTCGTGCCTGTGTTCGCTGGAGTAAATACACGCACACGAGGGAGAGCTCGCGCGTGCACGTAACCGACAGATAGTTCCAAAGCGAAAGAAAAGCATACCGATCGATCCGGGGGCAATGATGCTTCGAAATAAAAATGCACGCGCTTATATCCAACATCGTAAAGTTATTTGGCATGTTAGATGTCTGGTGGAAGTGCGCGTGCGAGCTTCCCAGCATAATAAACAATAATTAGTTAATAACTTTTGTATAAGACTATAAGCTTGCGGCGTAGGAGGGCGGGTAATTTGTAAAATTTGCGGGGCTTTTAGTTGGCGCGAACCGCGAAAAAATATGTATAATTATATTTGATAATTAATGCCAAGCTATCCATGCGCTCGAATTTCTTTTCGAGAATTTATTTGAAGAGTTTGAGAACATTACTCATTCGAATTACGACACGAATGCAAGAGTGTCCGTTTATTTCGAAAGTTGCTCGGCAATTCGTACGTGTGTTTTTTCATGATATTTCTTCGCTAAATACGTCGACGAGATTTTTAGGTAAGTGGTTACGTTTCTGATCCTTTCAACATGAGAGACAAAAGAGAGTATGGGCGAGTGAAGCTGAAATTGCACGTCGAAAAATGTCAAATGAATATTTCATCAAGGATGGCAGTAGCCGTATGAAATACACTTACTAGCCATCGTTTATAAATTACAACTATTTCTATCAATTGATTACGTGTCATTTATTGATTTTTATGTTTTGTTATAAAGAATTTTATAATAAATAATTATGGATTTTTATTTGAATGGATTGTAACGTGGCATTTTAAAGACATTATTAATAAATATCGATAACAGGTATGGTAATTGTTCATATGGTATCGCGTATAGAGGATTTTTTTTTTTAACAATTCTACGGATCAAAGTAAACGAAGCAGACAAGCTTATAGAGAGGTTTATTCGGTCTTTTACAAGCAAGGATATCTAAAGTATAAATGTCCAACAGCTTTAAACATTCGCTTGGAAATTGTCGAATTAGGCGCGATCGACATTATTTGTCCACTTCGTTTTCAACTACCCGGATAAAATCATTCGTCGGGACCTTCAGACTTTGGCCAAATGCATGACAAACTCGTTCCCAGTTGAAAACTAAAGATGAGAGCGTTGGGGCTAGTGCGCCAAATGATATAAAGATAGAAAATGATAAGTGTTGAATCAATGGTAGATGAGATGTGCACTTACGGGAAAGCCGCGATCCAGATCGATTCCTCGGCCGAATTTGGTTGCATTGTCCACAATGATTGGGGAGTCCATTTTACGAGGGACGGCCTTGTCGACCCAGTCGCTCGCGATGGGCTTACTTTTCGAATACGTGATTGCTCCACGCTCTCGCTCACTCCTTGCTTCTCTCCCTTTATCCTCTCGCACACGCTCTCACTCTCGCTCCCGCTCTCTGCCTGTCTGTCTGTCTGTCTGTCTGTCTCTCTCTCTCTCTCTCTCTCTCTCTCTCTCTCTCTCTCTCTCTCTCTCTTACCCTCTGTCTATCTCTGTCTGTCTTTGCCGCTCTTGTTCTTGCTCTCCTTCTGTCGCTCTCTTTCTATCTTTGTCTCCAACAAGGTCTCGCTATTTTTCTTTATCCGGCTACCTCGCCCCCTATAACATCCATTCGTTTATTTAATTCTTCTCCATACCCGCCCGCTATTTTTAAGCGGCCAAAGAGCTTTTCTAAAATGATTATTATATCCGCGGGATCAAGGACGCGGCGGAACCACGACCAATAGCGAAGATCGTGGATATCGGATGCTCCTATTTTGCCTGTTGCTAGCAAATTTCGAGCTTTTTATTTACTTATATTCGCTTTTTACGGATCAATGCCGGCGTTATACGCGTGACCTTGATAGTGAAGCAACGTGGATCGTGACGTAGTCACAAATGGCGTGCCTAATTAAAGGTTTAAAAGTGGAATCAAGTTTTCAACTTAAGCGTTAATTTTTATCTCACCCATTGCTTCGGATATTTGGACGTCTCAACTCGTCGTTATTCATTTTACCGGCGAATTTCCCTTTAATTTGGCAAATTGAAATTTATTCATTTATTACGACGAGAGCACGAAATTTAATTTACCCGTCAGATGATTATTATTATTTTCCTGATTTAAAGGATTATTTTTATTTTTAAATTCGTCTGTTGTGCAATTGATCGATTCGAAGGATCTTATTATACATAAGTATTTTGTAGATACCCCATTAACATGAACTGGAATATTTTAATCGCAAAAAGCTTTATAATGCATTTCGTTAAAGGTAATAATAAAATAATCTATAACATGAATTTATGTTTATATCAATAGTCAATAATAAAAAGTCACTGTATTGACGAAAATATCCATATAAATATATTCCCGAACGTTAAAAAACAAATCTTGTCCCGATTTGCAGAATTGTTAATAATCACGAGACGACTTTTTATACGATTAAGTGAAATTCAGCAATTAACGGCGATGTAATTTCTTCTTTTTTATCGATTAAACAATATTTTTCTTCAATTTCATTGTTTCGCTAAAATTATGATTAACGCGTGTCATTTATTTTTGAGTAGATAATGATAATAATTTTATTCGAATATAAAACGGCTTATAAAATAGCCTGTTCCGATACCTATACACTTTATGTAGAATAGTTTAATCATTTTTTTCCTTTCTATTCGTTTGGATTTTAATTGATTTTCATTTTTAACGTCGCTCTTAATAAGCACGTTGGAATCCGGTCAAACGCTTTTTAAAAAGTGCAATTGTTTTTTAGCCACGCGTCATACCTTACTCAACGTATTAGCTTTACGAATGACCATTACATTTTATTATTATGATATCGAAAAGCAGCCGCATGTGCATTTATGATAAAGCATGAGGTTTTTATGATAAACATACATAACAAATGAGCATGAGTATAATTTAATATATTGAAAATAAGCAATCTATCAGCCGAACAAATTATGCCTTTTGAAAATACATAACCTGCGATCGTTGGTATATTCGATATTTTCAGTATAAATGAAGGGACGATCGCTACAGAAAAAATTACAACTTTTAAATCCAACGATCTTGCACAATTGTTAATAAAAAAACATTCAAAATAAATACATAAATAAATAAATTATAAAAAAGACAATAACGATAAGAAATAAAAAGTACAAATTTACAAATAAGATTTTGTCTTCGTTAGCCTCATAACTTTCGTTCGAGGGGAACAATACAAAAAGGTTTTCAACCTTCCGTAAAATAAGTACTCCATCAATCGATATGCAGAAGAAACGCCTCGAACGAAATATAAATCCAAGTACTTCCTACGACAAATTTATTTTACTTACAAACAAAATTTCATGCCATCGCAAATAGCTGTATTTTCAAATGGCACATTTTTACAAGGCGATGCAGCTACTCTTTCAAAAAGATAAAATAATAATAAAAAATTAGTCAGTAAAGGAAACATTGATAAAAAAAAAAATAAAAAAAAATAAAGACGTAAGAAGATAAATAACGACAGGCTCCTGCATAGATAAACAAAAGTAATGAGAAGGAAAACGCACGCACAGTTGAATATCGTCGGCAAAAAATTTACCGATTAATCACGGAGCGACAATCTCCAGCCTTCCTCGGAATCTCCACGTCTCGTACGATTCACCACAACCACCAACACCACTACACCTCCTCTACCACCTACTCCTTTTACTCCTACTCCTAATTCTACTTCCCACAGACGCACTACTTGTCAACTTTTATCTCTCGCTATGTCGAACAAACTCCCGTTTTGTAACAACTTCGCGCACGTCGTAGATACGACGTTATGTCGCGTCGATGCACGAGCCGACGTTCGGCCACAAGATGATCCGCCAACTTTTCAAGTCCACTTTATTGACAAGCGACGGCGATGCTCCTATACGGCGGCGTCACGATGCTAAACTGAGGCGCCGCCGTGAGACTCACGCCAACTTAAATATGTGGCATAAGCTTCGAGAGTATGCGCGCGCAGCCTCACGCCTACACGACCTGTCAAGA